ATCTCTAATATGGGGATCAAGCATATGAAAAAATAAATAAAATTTGAAAACTAGAAATAATAATTCTAACAAGAAAACATTGGACTGTTAGTTTCTATTGTTTTTAGATAGAAAACCTACTTGCATCCATCTTTAAAATCAATGCTTTGCACTTCCTGGACCACATGTGTAGAAATGCGGTCCAACCCGCATGAAACAATTTTCCATCGTGAATATCCCTCTACTCTTGATTGTTGCAACATAGATTCCTCTATTGTGTTTTGAGATGCCTCAAATTAATGTTATAGTTCATTTCTCCCATATATTCATCACACCACTAAAAAAACGTTTGGTGCTAATATTAATGAGCTACAGGTAGTAGCGATATCTAAAATGGGAAGCTTTTTATACTTTCCCTACAGCACAGAAGTTCTATCATTTCCCTTATCGAGTCGTCCATTATGAATTGAGGGTTAAAGTTAAGATTGCCCCAATCAAATGTCACGTCTCTACACTATTTTATTTTTAATCATTTTCTATAAAATATTTTGATACCAAATTTTGGAGGTCCATTCCTCGATTAAATTCGCACTAGCAAAAAATATATAAAAAAATATTTTTAATAAAATAAAATGACCAAAATACCTTTAAAAATGTCAAGGGGTATTTTGGTCATTATATTTTATCAAAAAATTATTTTGAATATTTTTTATAGGTGCACCCCAATGATAAGATGGCACGAACTAAATTTTATATTCATACAATTTGTATAAAAAAAACTAAAAATAAAATACTTTGAGACGTCGGATTTGAGATCAAATGGTGAGTGACTCTCTCGATCAAAATTGGATGGCTGGATGATAGGGAGAAGATATAACTTCTATAATGTAGGGAAAACATAGAAACCTTTCCCATCTAAAATTACATAAAAAAGTGAAGCGTAGAAACCTTTCCCATCTAAATGTAAAGAAAAACATAGAGAAAGTAGTAAATGTGCAAGCAAAACCATTTTTGACATATTAGAGAGTTTTCAACCTCCGTTCTGTAAATTGTCATTAGTGCTGGGTAAATCTTACTTAAAACCACTAAAATTTAATATATATTTTTTAAAAATTGTATCATTCAGCTGGGACTGCATTTCTACATTTGCTGTCCCCAGGGTATAAAATGGAAACAAATAGGTGGTTCATCTAAAAAAATTGAAACGAATGGTCCAAATGTTTTTTTAATGGAATTATTATTCTTAAAGTTCAAAATTTATTTATTGTTTCATATTCACGATCTCCATGTAAGAGATTACATGTCCTTAAAAAATTAGGCCAAAAAATCGATCTCAAAAATAGCTTTTTAAGACGTGACTCGTTTCTACATGGACTCATAGAAACCGTATCCATTTTAAAATAGAGCAAATCTAAGATCAGAAATCAAATAAAATTATGAAAGAAAAGATAAATAGGAAAATAAAAAGAAAATAGTAGAAAACTTACCAATTCTTCCCTCATGCCCAATACTTGGAGTTGGGGCATGAATTAGACTGATGAATTGTATTCGCAATTACTTATCACCAACTAGAAAAGTTACTTGAATTGAAGAATTGATTGAAAGTGAAATATTTTTTACGAAAAATTTATAGGCAGTGGTGATTGAAACCTAATCGGACCTATTATTTAATTAGGGTTTGGGCATCTTAAGCTAGGGCTCCTAAAAGGTCTAAGATAAATTTAAGACTCTATGGATTAGGGTTGAGGTTTGGGATTTCGAAGTTATAGTTTCTCTCAAGGTTTTAGCCCTCAGATCTTTCAATTGTTTCTTCTCTGACTCACTCTATATCCTTCTGAATGAATGCAACTAGAGTGAAAAGGGGCTTAGGGGTCCTTCATCCACTATCCAAAAACTTTTGGATCAACCAAACTATTTAACATCAATCCATACCACATTGGTGAGCTACAGTTTGAATGAAACTTTGTGGTTGGACTCCTATCATGTTTTTAACCTAATTTAGCCGAATATTGCGAATTTCAGATAAAATCACCTAGGGTTGATCCATTTTTTATCATCTTGACTTCAATTAGTAATTTGAATCCAAATTTTTTTTTTTTTTTTTAAAATGTTTATCCAACTTCCTAGAAAATGGTAATTTGTAGAATTTGGTGGCCTTGGATAACTCCATGTTAAGTTGAATTCGTCCTTTACCAGTTTCAATACTCAAAAGCAATCCAGAGATCCTGAGTATTAAGTAGAAAGGTAGCTTGAACTGAAAATCACCATTTCTAGATTTAAAGAGCTTAAGAAGGCTTCTAGGGCGTTCTAGAGTCAATCCAACCTCTCATGGCTTCGCCGACATGCTGTGTGTTAAAATTAATGCGCTATGCATCGACACAAATGCGATATGCATCGGCCGTATAAAAATGCCACATGCCTTCTCCTTTGTACTATAGGTCCATCATGATTCGGCTTTTGATTCTAGGTCCTACATTTGAATGAGCTTAACTTGGGTTTTGGAAGACAAATTAGATTTTGGGATTCTAAACTGGTATTGGGGTCACTTGAATATCGAGTTAGGGACAACTGAAGAAAGGTAATTCCTAGGCTTGGGGTAAAGTTTTAGGGTTTGGGACACTTAGAATCTCGATCAGCAAAAATAGGGGTCTATAGTTGCCCAGCATCTTAAGCACCATGAGTGCCAAAGAAGTGGATCCCATAATCAGAAGAATAAAATATAAATGTTAATCTGAATTCATCATCAGATGCTCACGTTTGCTGCCCTCTCTTAAGACATTTGGGACATCAACCACTGCCCTGTTTTTAGGACAATTGGACCCATTTATCCAGGGTCACTTAGCCTATGCTTAGGAAGTACGTATTATCACTTGGCTTGGGTTTAGGTCTTGTCATGTCATTGACTTTGGGAACTTGAACTGACTTGAATTGCAATAGAGTGGATAACTTTTCACCTGATTGAATAATTTGGCCTCTTTAGTCCCAATGCTCAAAGATCAAGGCATTGGATGGCTATGGAGGAAAGTTTCAATTGAGCAGATTTTTTTTTTGTTGAGAAACTCAATTGAGCAGATTATTTCTTTTTCAAAGCATCTGTTCAAATTTGAGTGAATTGTCTCTCTTCACAACGAGCAAGACTTTTTTTTAATCTTTTTGTATCAGAGAGAGGGAATAATCACCATTTGTAGCTTGTTGAAAATCCCTTAAGGAAAACCCTTTGAAGTTCCAAAAAAAAAAAAAAAAAGAAAAAACTTTGAAGAAACTTTTTAGAAAACCCTTTGAATAAAATTTTAAAAAATGAGAGAGCTGTTGAGAGAGATCGAAAATACAAAGTAGTACCAGGTTACGATTTTAAAAAGAGAAATAAAGGTTTTTGAAGACCACATAAGATAAAATTAAGTCAGCATCAGCAGCCTTTACAAGCTCCACACAGCACAAGAACCCAAGAAGGAAGCAACAGGAAGGGGAGAGAGAGAGAGAGAGAGAGCGAGAGAGAGAGAGAGAGGCTAACTTTTTGTAGTTCAGATGAATGCTTGTACAAATCTTTTGGATGGGACTTTTAACTAACTTGTGCTTTTAACAGGTACAATACTCAAATACACATACAAACAGGCATAAAGATTTTCATCATTTTCGTGCTAGGATGGTGGCTCTTTGCAGTGAAATGGGCCAAGGTTTGCTTCTACTCAAAGTGTTTGCGGTTATCAATGTATCTTTTCTTCTAAGGTTCTGGTTTTTACCGGCCAATAATGAGTCTATTCAGATTTGGGTCTTTTATTGTATTATTGTGTTTTGGACCATACACAATGCAGTACTTTTTAGGTTTTTTTATCAACTCTCTACATAGCCTGAGGAAAGACTTTTAACCTTTCCTACTCTCACTGATTCAAGGTGGAGCAGAATCGCCCACAAACCCTGAATATCTTTGCAAGCTTCAATAAATGCTTCATATTTCTTACCCACAATCTCTCTCTCTCTCGCCCCACAAGCCAAAAAACAATCTCTTTATAACCAAAAAAGACGAGGATCCGGTATCTATGTGGCCAAGCCCGCATATGTAAAAATGCGGGCCTCTTAATAAAATCTAATTTTGAGATGAATTTTAGGGCTTAATTTTTAAGGACATGTAATCTCTAACATGGAGATCATGAATATGAAAAAAGTATATAAATTTTAAAAACTAGAAACAACAATTCTAGTAAGAAATATTTGGACCATTAGTTTCCATTGTTTTTAAATGGAACACTTACTTGCATCCATCTTTAAGATGAATGCTTTACACTTTTTAGAACGCATATGTAGAAATGCGATCCAGCCTGCATGAAACAATTTTCCAAAAGACAATCTCTCTCCATAGCCAAAAAACAATCTCTCTCTCTCTCCATATTTTTTTTGCAGGCTTCCTCTATTACGACAGCTAAAGACTGTAATGACCTGTCAATGAAAGTACTTCAACACTATGATACGAGCTTCTTGAAATAAGAAGACATGCCACTAAACAAAAGAATATACCATTTCTACACAGCACAATGAAGTTCAGAAAGTGAAAATGAGACCAGCAATCTGGAGAGAGCATCAAAGTAGCCAAGATTGTTACAATGGTAGAGAGAGAGAGAGAGCATCAAAGTAGCCAAAATTGTTACAATGGTAAAGAGAGAGAGAGAGAGCATCAAAGTAGCCAAAATTGTTACAATGGTAAAGAGCACATAGACGTATGTCTCAAAAGTGAAATGAAGACTAACCATCAATAAGGCGAACTTGAGTATTAAGGGTACGAGACAACTCATTCATGATGTTCCAAGGGTCAGCAACCATAAAACTGTCTGAATCAGGCATGATAACCTTGATTCCAAGCTTAGTTATCGAGTCAATATGGCATGCAGTGAAAGGATTGCTCCACATTAGGCGGCTCATGGAGGGAGCCACAAAGAGGGGTTTCTTGTTGTAGTCCCATCCACGCACCAGACAAGTCAGCAAGTTGTCACAGAGCCCCATTGCAATCTAGAGAGACAAATTCTCAGGTTAAAAGCTTGTTTTTTTCCCATGTATGACACAAACTTCTAAAAAAAACTAAGTGCCAAGCTAAAATAATGTAAGCAGTGGCCGCGGAAGTAATTAATAAGCTCTAATGACTGAATTAATGGCAAGCTGAAATTGAATAGATACACCCATATTGCAACTTGTACTATATAGCTCAAGTCATGAGCGGACTAAGATCTCTCTCTCTCTCTCTCTCTCTCTCATGGCATCTTTAGGAGAATGGTGAGGCCTAACTTTAGCAATGGAGAAGAAACCATTGTGACTGACAAAGCTAGGAGGTTGTTTTTTTCACCAACTTCACGACAAATTAAGAGATTAGCATGTATACTCAAATATGGGGAATTAGCAATAATTTAGAGAAACATTAAAGCAGGGCGAGAAACAGAGGAACTAAACAGAGTCAGAATTTGCAGTCGTTTGCTTCCTAACAGAACAGAAAGAATCGGTCATTGTTGGGGCCAACACGTTATTACCAGGCCAATAGTTTGACCACTGAGAGGTTATGGCTCTAACTAATGAGTTAACAGTCCTGGTTTTTCTGTGATGAATTTAACCTCAAACCTTTTGAATATTTATCCTTGTGGTTAAACTAATAACATGGGATGCGAGTGCATAGACAATCAAAGCTTCCAAATGACAATTGAGGCCTTGTAAACGTAGCAGATCTTGTCATTTTATTTACAAATCCGCTTTGGTCACTCTTTGAATAATTCTTGAAACTTCTAAAGAAGCGGCTTTAAGAGGGGCTTACTGTTAGTTTCTTGTATCTCAAGTACAAAGCTATGGTATCTTTTCATAGCCAGCTTGCAACGGGTCAAAAGACTCTTATATGCTCCTTCATCCATATTGAATGCACTTAAAATAGGGAAAAGGTATTTATGGAAATTATCTTAGTTTTTAATTCAAACTCACTAGCAGTGTTTACAAGCTTGGCTGAGTCCACTCGGACTTGGCCTTTTCTAGGCAGAGTACTCAGGTACAACTCAGGTTGATTTAAAAATATAAAAATTACTAAATGGTGGAATCAATGTATAAATATTTTACATGTAATTTGGGACAATGATTTGTGACTTTTTCTTTTCCTACGCCATCTTTTTATATTTTCCTCCTTTTTTTGGGAATTTTTTGAAATGTCTCAAAAAATAAATCATTTTTTCGATACCAATGTTTTATACATTTTTCAGATTATTCGAACTTTTTATGTTGTTTGTGGTTCAGTTACATTTTTCAGCTTATTTGGACTCACACTACTCGGGTGAGTCCACCCCAATAACTCAACTCGCCAGGGCCGAGCGAGCCCGAGGCCCAAACCAAGTTAAACATTGCTTGCAAGAATGATTGACTGTTACCTTGTATCCCTAACCCGAGAAAAGCTAAGGACCAAAGAGCTATTAAATGCCCCTTGAAACTTTGCCAATAAGATTATCTCCATGGTCCTTGCTAATTGCCTCTAGCCCTCTTCTTTCGTCTGAACATAGGGCTTTTGCTAAAAAGGCCAACCAATTAGGAGAACTCTTTTCTAGGCTATAGAGCTACCTGGTGGAGGAAAACTAAGGTCTAAGGATGAGGCTTAAAGTATTGTGATCGTATTGAATATAGTAACACTAGTAACAAATTACCTTGCCAAGTGTGTTGGCTGACAATGGAACAATAACCATAGCATCTGCCCACTGGCGAAGCTCAATGTGACACACTTTGTCCCCTAGCTTATTCCACTCTTTCCATTGCTCATCATCTGTATAGAGAGCTACCTCACTAGGAATCAATGCTCTGTCAATGAAGTGCATAGCACGCTTGGTAGCCACTGCCCTGACTTCAGCCCATTCACATAAACGGTGACAAAATTTAAAAAGTTGGATTGCAACTACACTTCCACTTGCAGCCAAGAGAATCCGTGGTTTACGTAACTTAGTACCACTTTGTTGAGACTTAGTACCACTTTGTTGAGACTTTGCTTTCATGTTAGTTCTACTCTGAGTTCTCATTGTCACCTGTCAAAAGGAACAATTCTATGAGAAAATGAGCACTAAGGGGTAGCACATGAACCACATGGGCAAAACATAATATGGTAGGGATATTTGTTCCAAAATGGGAACATGCATGACAATATGCTCATCAAAATAAAAGAACGGTCCACCCCAGAAATTTTTCTTAGGTGTGGTCTGTGCATTTTAGCCGCATCTATAATTGATAGACATAATTGCATATCATCAAGAATTTATTCTCTTCATCTGTGCTTATGTCCTTTTCCGAGTGTGCTTACACTCTGCATTGTATGAACATAAAGGTCTAAGACCAATCAAGGACACCACATCCATATTTCTATATATCAAATAGGAAAAATATACAATAAAATATGATTCATATTGTCACAGTAACAATGATAACATGGTGGTTTATCACCATCCAATCAATAGGTTGGACAGTGATCAAGAGAATAGGGACTTCGGTTGGAGGCAATGGAGATCGAAGCGAAAGTGGGTATTAGCGATTTATTAATTGAATTGTACAATGAGACCCACTCCCTGAGATGGTGATAACCTCCGAGTTATAGGGTAATGATGAGTGTATGGATCGTATCATATGTAACCTTCACAATCTATCCAATCTGTACTTAACACAATACTCCATGACAGTAAACCAGACGCATGGGTGCTAGTCCAACTCTGGCCAATAAATTGAATTGCCAGTCCGCCATTTTACTCTATCAAGGGCCATACGCTTAATGAGACCTTAAGTCTCCATATCTTTTCTCACCACTTGCAACCATGTCCTTTTGGCCTTGCCCCTTGCCCTTTTTTAGCCTCCCACTTGAACCACCAACTCGCACCTCCTAAAAGGTACTGGGTCTGTGCTACACATGGCTAGCCCACCTAAGTCTAACTTCTCTCATCTTATTGCATATATATATATATATATATATATATATATATATATATATATATATATCTCCGTCCTACGTCGTATAATATAATAAACAAGTAAAGACTATATAGTACTAACTTCTACGTAACGTAACGTAACGACGACATACTACA